TAAAGCTAGTTATTAATACTATTTCCTCAGGCCAAAGCAAAAGATGTTAATTTGCATTTTATACTGTAGACGCAGGTGGGTGAATCATTCTAAGAGAAGGTAAATAGCATCACAGATGAAATAAACCTGGAATGTCACTACAAGGACTAGAATAAACTCCATAAAAGTCAAGAGAGGCAAAGCTGTACTAAGCATCCATCTTTAGCTGGATTTACTAGTTCTGAAAATTATTTTATTTTTGGTACCAGGAATTGAACCCAGGGGCACTTAACCACTGAGCTACACCCTCAGCCCCCACTTTTCAAAAAAACATTTCATTATGAGACAGGGTTTCCCTAAGTTGCTTAGGACCTCACCAAGTTGCTGAGGCTGGCCTTGAACTTCTGATCCTCCTGCCTCAGACTCCGGAATCTCTGACATTATGGGTATGTGTCACTATGACTGACTATAATGGGACCCTTTAAAAATATAATGAAAACTTCTATTATTATGTTAATTATTATTAATGGCTGAAGTTACTATTTATGAGGTGGCTGAAGTTACTATTTACCACATCCAATGTGCAAGAGTCTTCATCTCTAGTATTACATTTATTCTCATAAAACCTCATGTGGTAGATATAATTGTCCCCATTTTATCCATGAGGAAATTAAGGTCTGGTTAGGTAGGGTGACTTCTCCAATATCACTCAGATAATCAGTGACTTTAGAGGCCAGAAAGAACTAATGTCTGATACTGTCAAAAAGGTCAGTGTGTAAGATAGTTTTTGTAAGATCTTAAAAGATGATATCTGGTTATCCATCTCAGCCCACACTTGGTAAATCCTGTGAAACTGCCTAATGAAGAGCAGAGTTCTGCACCTTATGATTCACTGTGGATCCCACAAAGGTTGAGACTGACTGGAAAACCAACAGAGTTGAGACAGCATTAAACTCATCCTCTAAGACATTGTGTCTACATTTTCTACTGAGCCTGAGATTGGATGAGATAAATGCACACCAAAAGAAGAGGGGAAAAAAAGAGAACACTTTGCATTTTTAATTACTTGAACTAGTTATCAAAGCATCCAGATGGGAGAATTCCATATTCCTTTCCAAACAAGGAGTTAACATGTCCCCAGTGAAGAACCTGAAACTGGTGTTGGAGACAGAATGAGGCTTCCTTGCTCTTCCAAGAGACTGAGCAGGTCATGATGAGACCAGATAGCATAGCTGATATTGGTATTAGAAAGTGAGCTGGTGCAGAATTAATAGAGCCACCCCTGACTTTTCCCATTTTGAGGATATGTTTTTTCCCCCCACTCCCATTTTTTACATTTTTTTTTTTAATTTACGGATGGAACATTCTAAGGAAATACAGTTCTTTTGAATGTTCTTGCTACTTAGTAATAAATTCCAGTACAGAAATAATAAATGGTCTCAAGTTTACCAATGCTTTGGAAATCCATTGCTGCCAAATACAATTTCAGACTGTTAGTATGAGTCAAAGATTTCTCTCTTTTTAAAACTATATAAAGCTCTAGTCACTCACACTGTCATAAGGTCAGCAAAACATTTTATACTGTGAATTTCCTTAGTATGTTCCATTAAAAAATGAGAAATTGTGAAATGGGGTATAGTCAGACTCCTCAAAATTGGAATAGTTAGAGGGCTGGCTCTGTTAAATTTGCAACAGCTCAGCTTTCTTATACCAATATCAGCTACCTGGCCTCAACCTGACCTGCTCTGTCCCTTAGAAGAGATCTTTGGCTTGTACTAACAGCATCAGCAACCTTCAGACCATTTATTATTTCTGTACTGGAATTTATTACTAGCAAGAACATTCAAAAAACTGTATTTACATAGGCAAAGTGTTATCTGGTACTTTTAGAGTAACATCCTAGAAAAAATAGGAAAATATTACAGTGTCCCTTTCCCAACCTGTCCTGACAGGTTCAGAGACAAATCTAGACAAGATATGTCCATGAATGTGTAAATGCCCATGCTACAAAGACAAAAAATGATGAGTAGCCTCTGATCATAGAGATGATAGGAACAAGTAGATGAAAGACAGCTTTAAGAGAGAAAAATAAATGGAAGCACCTTTCAATGAATTCTCCTATTTTGGCAGTTTGGTTCACGGCCTGTGTAGTGATAAATAGTATCAGGGCCCATTTAATTCTGCAGATCCCATTGATCCTATAGGACATCTCTGTCATTTTAAATTTAAGAACAGTAATGAAGCAAACATAGTCCATTCTGACCACCTAGAATCCCCAGCATTTACTTCCAGACTTCTATAAATTCTCTTTCTTTAAGACCTTATAAAACTAAATACCCAGATAGCACTTTTGACTAATGCAATTTTATATTTGTGTATGTGTTTATTTAAATTATATCCATCTTCCTCATCATAGAGGGCAGAAAGTATCTATTGTTCTTTCCATTATGCTAATGAAAAACCAGCCTCTACCTCAGAGCAAGCCTGTCCAAGGAAGGGACATCACCTTTGTCCTTGGAAAAACCCACAGAGCACTCCTAGGCACATTGCCACCCTGCTAAGTTGTTTATCTACAAATAACAGGAGAGATCTGCTGCGCCAGGTGTCCCTGACTCAGTCAGGCTAGGTGGAGATCCATAGCAACCCCCTAGCAGCCACCAATCAGCATGAGACAGGGAAATACCTGGGATGCCAGATGACCCTCCCAGTAGTTTATGGTAGTTGATAACCTGTTGGGAAACCATGTAGTTCAGCACGTATACCCCTCTTGGCTTAAACCAATCAGTTCAAATGAATACCCATTTTGTACTGACCAATCACCCCTATCCAACTTGTTCCCGCCAGTGAATGTGCTAATCATGTTTTAGAGTTGTTATTTGATTTTCCCGCAGTGTGTGATGATTTGCTCTGATGTATGTGAAGTCCCTGCCCTCTCCAAAGAATGTATAAAAATGCTGCAAACCCTGGGCTGGGGCCTCTCAGCGTCACCAGTTGCTGTGTGTGCATGCGGAGGACCCAGCTAGCTAGCAATAAACACCTCTTTGCTGCTTACATCGATCTTGGGTCTCTGGTAGTCTTTGGGGGTCCCACATTCGAGCATAACAATTGTTAAGTCCCAATTTCCCTTTGGGAAAATTTCCTGATTTTCAGAATAAGAATAAGAGGGCTAAGAGTGGAAGTCTTTTAATCAGGTCCCTCAAAATCAGTGTCTTTACTAAGGTAAACCAGGTATTAATCACAACAGCACAGATCTACTCTGCCATTAAGGAGCTGAGTGATCTTGGACAAATAACTTTAACTTTTTGAGTCTGTTACCCTAGTTATAAAGACAGAAATATTGATATTTATTACATTTCTCATAGTAACTAATCTTAAATGAAATATATAAAGCTTAATGAATTATCATGGCAATTTTTAAGTATCTCTGTAAAAATTAATAACATCACAAATTTTGGAGTGTTGTTCAGGTCCTTAGGCATCAGTTCTTTGAAACCGAAAGGCCAAGGTGTTGGGGAATGAGATTGATCAAATTATATTATGTGTATATATAAATATAGCATGATCTATCTGTATAATTATAATCTACCAGTAACAATTATTTAAAAACTCAAAAGGCCTCATTTACTTATCTGAGAGGAATATGGAAGACTATTTAAATAAGAGCAATAAAAATGCTTCCTCCATGGAGGGGTGTGACTATTTAAAATCTCAGTGTAATTCTACCTCAAAACATTCTCTTATCACAAACAATTCATGAGTGGTGGACAGCAACTTACCTTTTAAAGAAATAACCTTACATCCACAATATGAAATTGTCAAGAGTTTGAATTCTTAGAAATATTGTACCATAAATTGAACCACAAGTTAAGAAAAAGCAACATGCAGTAATGATGCTGTCCCACTGATATTTACATACAATAAATCTCTGAAATCCTATAGACCAATTTCTTAAAATAGTTTTGTATGGCAAAGATCTAACTTGAAAATAATGATTATTTGGAATATTTGTAAGCAATCAGCTTTTACAAAATGCATGTAAATTTAATTATCCTCAGAACCTAGCTTTTGAATTCTTCAAAATTACCCACAATGTGTCATAAATACTGCATTTCTGCTCAGAGCAGTGATCTGGAGTCCCATGGTCTGCCACAGCTAAAATTCCTCCATAAGGATAAGAGTGTCTTCCCAGCAATCCAGCTACTGAGTACCTTGAAAACTGGATGTAAAATTGTCAGCTCCCAACTATTTAGTGGGAGAAGGAATGCAAGCATTCCAAAGAATTGATGATTCAGAATGTTCTTCCACTTCAGATAACTTCCTGTGTGATTTTTGACATGAAGACAGGTTACCAATCAACATTTTAGCCCAACCAACAGGGTAGGTGACTGAATCAACATGGAGCTAAAACCACAGCCTACAAAAGCCACCATGCTTCAGAACAGTAAATACAATGAATACACACACACACACACACACACACACACACACACACGGACTTCAGCAAGAATATAAACGTTGGACACCAAAAACAGAGTTTTAAAACTAGAACAAAACATTCCATTAATCCATAATTTAAGGACACCTTAACTAATCAATATGGAAGGCCACATCACTTAACAATTACAAAGAGACACAGAGAGGCAGACAGACATTGGGAGATTTTATGAGACAGCATCACCTGCACCTATTTTCTCAATTCTATTGCAACTGTTTGCACCAATTCCATACTTTAAATGTCTGGAATAGCCTTTGGTCTCCTTCCAGGATCCTATCAACTTCCTTTTATTCCCAGATTATTTCTTCCATTAAACCTCTCTTTTAAGGAAATAGAGATGGGAATAAAAGGGTGGCAGCATAATGGAGGGGAGATGTTGTTTGTCACCACCTCCTTCCACTAAATTTTTTGTGCTTAGCAGAACTTCTGCAGGACTTTGGTCTGCACACCCACCAGTATAAGGGCCCCTGCCCCCAGAGAAGCTTACAGCAGAGTTCCCTCTAGCTGGATTCTCAGAGACACTTACAGCTTTCAATTTCCAAGGTGCAGTTTTGTTCGTCCAGTGGGTACCGCCGCAGGTCCATCATGCAGGCAGCTGTGGTTGTGATTCTAGAAGAGAAAGAGCAATATGCATCATTAGCAGGGCCATGACCTGAGCTGGAAAGTTAAACCCAGGTGTCTCGATAAATCTGGACTCTCTGGGTGACTGCGATTTAGCCTAAGCTCTAAAGAAAAGAAGTGATGCAACTTTTGATAAAACACTTTCCTTTGTGAGGCTCATGATGATCACAAAGTAGAGACTGGACTAAATCAGTATTTCCCTAAGAGTGGACCATTAACTACTCATGCAAAAATCACCTGACAGTGTTTGTGAGGCAGGCAGTTCCCATGTCTGGGTGCAGTCCCCCGTCTGTTCTATCAACCACACAGGTAAATGAGAGACAAGCAATACTCCTCTTCCTCCCAGGTTTCCTCCTTCCTTTCTCAAGACCCTAAAATCGCATTTTTCAACAACGTTACCTTCAATCTACCATTTTTCACCTTTCTTTCTATAGTAGAGTATTATGCAAGTGCTTTAAAACGTTTAAACTTTACATCTCCTGAAGAAAACTAAGAGTACAAACTAATGTTGAATTTGACCAACTTATGCTTATTGTGAGGAGCACGATGCTCTGTGCTGGGAAGAGGGAAAAAAGATGTAGTTCTGGCTTGGAAAAAATAGTGTATAGTTAGATTTTTTTAATTAAAATAACCTTGAGTACAGTTTAAACCTGTAATCCAAGTAGAAGGAGTGTATGGAATTCCTTAGAACAGCATAGGATTGTCAACTAAAGATTAAAAATATTCGATTCACTTAGTATAAAGAATCATTGCCTCCTAAGGTTGATAAACTTTTCTATAAAGGTTTATATTTTGTTAATTTTTGTTTTCCTTTTTTATACGTCTGAAGATCACTCTGATTCCTTCCTTTTCTTCAACACACCCTGTTGGGTACTCTGCTTCAATTCCTTACCATTTCCACTGCCTCCCCACTGAGTAGGTGTCCCCCTGCCTCATCTCCACACAGGAGCATAAATTAGATTTTATACTCCTTGGCTTAAATTTTTCAGTGATTCTTCCAAGAAAACCCCAAGCCCTGGCTATGGCCCATTATGTTTTGGAATCTCTGTCCATGTCCTTCTTCCTGATCACCTAACACACTGTGTCCTCGCTCAGTGCTCAGTGTCCTTCAGCCATGCCACCTGTTCTTTCTGCCTAGAACAAGAGTCTTCTAGGCCTACACAGAGCCCTCTCTTCTGATCATTAATTTCAGAATCACCTTCCCCAAGAAGCCCGTCCCCAGCAGGCCACCAAAGTGACTGCCATGACTAATGGTCCATTTCAGGTTTCTACTCATTTCCTTTAAGCAATTACCACAATCTGAAATTATCTCGATTATTCATTTTTCTTTGAACTATTTCTTCTAATAAAGTTTAAGCTGTATAAGGGCACATTCCACTCTATTCACGGCAAGGCACTCAATATACATCTGTTGAATAAATAAACATATGGATTTTTAATGACGTAAGCAGTTGGTTTTGCTCACTGTAAATCTTTGTATTTGAAGAATTATTTTATGGTGTAATTTATATTCTTTTTTAAATTCATAATGTGTCTTAGGTTATAAAGGTTCTTTTAATATTTTGAACAATAGATATAACTTAACCAATTTAAGCAACCCTACATAAATAATACTAGAGTTTATCTGATTGTCAGTTTGATTACTTTTGCTTTCATTGAGATTTACCAGATTTCTATATGCCATAAATCCTATTAAAACTAACATTCGCATCTCACTTTTTTTATCAAGGTTGAAACATTACAATTCATTTTAACTAAGTGATACTTATATGAATTTCTCACTGGTCCACTGATTGTTTTGTTCATTTGTGTTTTTAGATGAAGATACAATCTGAATTGCTGCTAAAAGACACATGAATATGCGGAATGGAAGGTTTCAAGGGACAAGAGATTAGATACATGATAGGCATACCAAACACCAGTATTACCCTTGTAAAATAGCAGAATTAATTCCTATCTGCAGAAATGGAGAAAATTAAATTCATTGAATAAAATGAATCCAGAAGACATGAACAGACATGAACGGTAGAAAGGCATACACATAATCAAGAAGGCGACAGGTACAGAAGGTCAAACTGCAAGTGAGGTGAAATCGCAGTGTTGCTATAGGTGGTGGGTCAGTCTTTGTGATAATGCACATTCATGGCAATCGCCATCTCTGAACCATTGCCATGGACACCAGGAAAATAAAATAGCTAAGGCTATCACAGGAGCAAGTCCTCTTCATATCTTAAAAATAAGTAGAAGAAAGTGTTTTCTCACAACATTCATACTTATGTCTGTTTTACTATTTTTTAATTGCACAATACATTATACAGCTAACAGACATTAAAATATTTTCTATTAACTATTCACAAAGCATTGGTAAGTGTCTCCTATTGGACAAAAGTAGGAAATTTGGAGCTGAAATCAACCATTTGGAATCTTGATCTGTAGTTACTGACACTTGGTTGCCCTGTTTTGCAAATAAAAACCTGCCATCCTAATTTGTTGTAGGATGGCAAAAGTAGGAAGAGATTTGTAACTCATAAAATGTTCTGCACCTTCTGCTGTAGTTATTACTACCTGCTAATGAGTAGATACCATGATAAGATATTTTACCACAATTTATTGTCTAGGCACAAGTTTATGCAAACGAAGAAGTGTAGAATATAAAAACTTATAAATAAACCATATATATCTACATATATGTGGGTGTAAATAACTTCCCAGAACATAAATATGCAAAATAAATAATTACTTTACATGTATGTATATGGAACTCTGTCAGACAGACTATATAGATGCAAAACAAACCTGCATCTTTTTCAAGTGTCTTCTGAGATCAGGAACCACAAACAATTTTGTCATGTTTGCATTTTAAGTACACGTTCCTGGTACAGGTCACCAATTTAAGATGATGATGATGATGATGATGATTATAATACCCATAATAATGAATTAAAAAGAAAAAAATCTATGGTTATAAGCATTCTCAAACTAAGAATTTCTAGGCAATTCTCCTTAAGTGCCTAATTTATGTAAAAATTCTCAAGTAAATATGAGAGTCAAGTCATTGTTACTGAAGAAGTTATCATGGAAGGAATCTTATTCAGAAAAGCCTATCAATGAGCACCTGAATCTGTTCTTTGGGACTTTTTGATTTAAAACAGGACAGAGACTCTACAGGAATAAGTCAATGCAATAAACACGTTAATGGGCTTTTCCTGAACACGCCTCTGTGGATCCTGATAAACTTCAATAATGGCCTTAAGTATCTCAATGCCCCTACACTAGCAGGAGACTATGAAATGAGGCTAGAAGACTTTTATGCAGGTATCCTGATTAGGTTTTAAGAAAAAAAAAAAAAAAAAAAAAATATATATATATATATATATATATATATATATATATTTATATTTATATGGAGATAGCTCTGCCTTCAAGCAAAGGAAACAGTAAACTATGCTCTGGAATGTGCCTTGTTTACCTCTGGCAAACCATCTATAGTCAAAGCTGGAAATGTCTTCTGTGGGGATGAACTATACCACATGATAAAAGCTGTGCCTGGAAACTGTCAATATTCTGCTTGGGCAAAGAGGTCTTTGGATAAACTTTTTACTACTTAGCTATTGGCTGCTGTCACCCCAAAATGACTTTTGTCATAAAATACTAATGTACAGCAAGAAAACTAAGTACACCACATAGCCCAAGGAGTCACTAAAGGCATGTATAAAACCAAGAAATACAACAGCTCAGCCAGCATTTTGTACCAAAGCCATAACAGAAATTTTATAGTGTTATGACCAGAGAATTAACAATGCTACCATATCATTCCAAGTGGGATATTATATTGTGAATTCCAGTTTGGATAAGACCAAAGGCAACTGTTAAGTAATAACTGATGGTTTTGTCACTCAGTCAATATGAAAAGCCATAGAATTATAATTAGTGTAACATCACTTAGGCCTTTCTGCAGATTCTTTAGGATTCAGAGTCACACAAGTATCTGAGCATGTGAAAACCTGGTTAGAATTTCAACCAGAGCTTATAAGGAGTAAATAAAGTGACTTTGTACTTATGCTTTGGTTGATTCTTTCATACAGGTGACAATCCAATTCCATAAGAATTTATTGAACATCTTCATGTTAAAATAAAATCACATGACTTATTCACAACTTTATTTGAAACATACTGTCCTGATACACAGCATGCTTTTGCTTTGCTAAAATACACATTTACTTAAAAGCACAACATATTTTAATTATGAAGGATAAAAGGATCGTCTGGCACTGGGATGCATCATTATCACAGAAAAATCAACATGTTAAAAGTTCAGTTATCAAAAAGATATCAATATGTATTTTTGCAATCTTTAAAGCAAAAAAAAAAAAAATCTAAGTTCAGAATTTCAGATAGGCAAATAAAAGGTCCAAATACTGAATTTAAACATTAGTGTATGAACCCAAATTTCGAAAAGTTCTCATCTGATTCTCTTCCCTCAAAGGTCCTTTAAACACTTCTGTTGTCCTATTCTAAAAGAAGACATTATTCTTTGTCTTGCAACCATTTGGGTTGGGAAACTAATCTCTCCCTTCTAACTCTCATTACTGTTGTGTTTTATGGGATAAATAGGTAGAACATTGTTATGGGAGGTAGGTGGCTTCGGCTTTGGCTCTCTCACTTGTGACAAACATACCTAATATTAATTGATGACTTACTAATAAGTTCAAAACACCATTCTGTGTTACCGAAATGTATTTCCTCAATTAAGTCCGATTGCTATTCTCATTTTATAGATGATAAAATTGAGACAACAGAAAGTGGTTTTCCCCAAGAATCCCATGGTGAGTGGGAGAGGCAGGATGTGAATCCAGGAAGCTTTGCAGAGTCCACGTATTTAATAGTATGCTTTAACTAACTAGCTAGATGACCTTGATAAAGTAATTCAGCCTCTCTGGAAGATTGGTCAATTTCTTATAGCCCAAACAAGCTTAGAAATTCTATAA